ATGGCTGAATCAAAGGCTCTACACATAATGAAAATCTGTAAATTAATTGGACGGCAGTATTTGGAGTGGACATTGGAAGGGTGAAGGTGGAGAAGTTACTTCTTTTGGAATACGGTGTTTCTGGTCTCGTGCTGTATGTAAAAGTGCCAAAAGCGTACAAGATTATTTAATGCTATTGGCGTACAAAGTAGGGTTGGTTAAATACGAGGTACTGGGCGAAATTAAGATGAGTGTCATTTGCGCACAGGTCATTAACAAAGGAATGTCAGTAGCAAGAGAAAATTGCAAATACATAATAAACTAAACTAAACTAAGGAGAGGGAGGAAGCTTTTCTATAAACGTTTTTGATAATTTTTAAGTAAAAAAAAATATACAGGGTCGCTATTAAAGATGGAACCATCTGCTCTCACGCTCAAACCCTTTTAGATATAGATATTACAACGCTTCCACTGAAATTATTTTGCATATTTTAAGGTAAAATTTTTGTTAATGATAATATGTATTCCATTGGCCATCGTAGGTATAGGGCATGTCAAATATACATAATATATACAAACAAAATACATCACAATTAATCATTTTCCCAAACAAATAGCTTAAAGAGCTCAATCATAGCAGCCGGCTTCGCACAGGGCATCTTCCAATATAAATTGCAGTCGGTATGTAGTCCCAAAAATTTAGTTTGGTGTACATGCTGCACCTCTTCACCCTGTATTCTTAAAGATAATTTATTTGTTTGGTTTTGGAAGTGGAAGTGGAAACGTAACAAAATTATTCTTCCTTCCCTTAAATATTAAAGAATTGTTACTAAACCAGTAATGAAGTTTGTCAAGGTTCTCGTTGGGTTTCGAGATGCTTCTAATTGTATCTGAAAGCAATAGGGAAGTATCGTCCGCATATAGGAAGTGGTCTATACCGACACCAAGGTGAGGAGAAATGTCGTCGATATAAAAGAGAAATAATAAGGGACCCTGCACCGATCCCTGGGGAACACCAGTATCGGTTATTTTTTATCAAACTAAAATATTCGTTTATGTTCATTTGTGGTGCTAGACACTATTGCTCTCTATTGTGTAAAAACGAGGAGATCCGACTAAACGCTACCCCTCTTGATGCCGTAGTGTTGCAGTTTATTTATGTTGATATTATCACAGTCAAATGCCCTATTGAAATCATAGAAGATTCCCAATGAGTATTCGCTTATATTAATGTAATCCAGTACTTTATTAAAGAACAGGTACAAGGCATCAGTGTAGAGCTAACTGTTGTGGTGAGAACAGTTGGAGCTTGTTAATAAAACACTGGTGTTGATCAAGGAAACGGTATCCAAATATCTTTAAAAAGTGAAAGTGCAATGGGACGATAGTTTTCTATGTTGGTAGCATCTCCCTTTTTAAAGACAGGAACAACACTTAATTTTTAAACTGTCAGAAAATTCACTCGTACTGTAGGAAAGGTTTATAACTTGCTAGAGGCGTAACTTAGAAACTATCAGCTCACATATATTTTTTATCAATGCTAGTGGAATATCATCAATACCAGTATTTGTTTTTTGTTTTAGAATTAAAAATATTACGTCTCTCTTGTAATGTTGTAATCCAGGGGCTAGTTTCGCCATGGAAAACAAATCATGTAGATTTTTGGAGTGGGTGTTACCAATATTATCACTTTTATTTACTTTATTTAATAACTCAATATGTGCATAGAGAAATTTAATTTTATCTCTTAACTCCTTGATAAGGATGTCCTTTTGCTTGACTATGTACGAAACTAACTTCAGATCCACGCCTTCGTAGTCTTAGTTTGATAGTATAATATCAAAGGAGTCATATTCAAGGGGTCATTATTAAAACTATTAGTTATGTTTGTGATATTAATATTAAAGCAGTACTTATCATCTATTACCACAATATTTTGCAAGTAGTTGAGTTTTCATTTTACTTTAGTCCGTCGTATTTCTGATGTTGGTGGGCAGTTAATTCTGATTGTGATGGAAAGTTGCATATTTTTTATGTACACTCAAAAAATGTCTCTTCAGATTGCCTACCTTTTTACCACCCGCAAATTAGTAAAGGGATATATATTACATTGGAGTTAAAAATGCCCCCTTCCCCACTGTTTTGGTGAAAATACACGTTTTGAAGCACCAGAAATGCGAATCACACAAAATCTGGAAGAAGAAGAAGAACAAGAAGACGCACACCAATGTATCCTTAAACATTGTACAAAATTTGCTGTATCATCCACATGTCTGCGTGTGCGCGATTCTGCCCTTTTATATCTAAGAATAAGTGTACCAAATTTGCTTCCAATCGGTTCAGCCGTTTAGCCGGAAATGAGAGTGCAGACGGACCGACACAGACAGGCCAACATTATCGAGATTTTGTTTGATTCGGATTCCTGGTGCCTCAAAACGTGTATTTCCGTCAAAAAAGTTGGGGGTCACTTTTTACCCCAATGCAATAGGTAGGTAGGTACTTACTAACGTGTGGGCGCCCTCGATCTTTAGAAATGCTTCTAGCCTCCCCCCCCTCCTTGGACATACCAGCCCTGTAAGAATATTGGAATGGATGTAGTGGTCTAAGGACCGCAACCCCAATTCCTGATGTATGCATCCACCAGCTTCTCCACCGGTTTTAGAAGAAACGATGATAGGCTGATGGGCCTGTAATTCTTCGCCAAGCCATATCTGGTACGACCCGGCTAATGTAGGTACTCTAGCTTTCGGGGATATACCCTACAGCCCCTAAAGAGGTGCAACAAGTGTAAAAGCAGCGGTTCCAGGCCCTTCTGCAAAAGAGCCGGGAATTTCCCATCCGGTCCTGCGCTCTTTAATGGGCTGAATGTGTTGAAAATGTAAGGGAAATATTTGTATAAATGCGCCTCAAGTGTGGAAATGTGTAGAAGATTTTGAAAATATGTATTTCAGAAATGTGTAGAAATGTATCAAAAATATGTAGAAATAGAAAAATAAAGAAAAAATTATAGAAATCTCTTATACTGTGTTTCAATGCTTCAATTGATTAATAATAATTGATTTATTTCTCATCAAACAGCACAGAGAAAAGGCCCAATTACAGATGAGAAATATTGCGAAATATCTTCTTTTGTGATATTTACGTTTTTGGAATCAGAAAAAAATGTTCTATCAAATAACATAACAAGTATAAATGACTTCCATAAGGAAGAGCAAAATTGTGATGGTTAACCGGAGACGAAACGTCAAACTTAAAATTTAAAACTATCACCTTGTAGAGGAAAAAAGTGGCCATAATAATGTGTCATTTATTTTGAAATATATTTTTAAATAACTTTGGGTTAAAATAAAAACGATTTTGCAAAATTTCGTTTTCTTTCCGATATCTCCCAAAGAATTTTTTCAGTTTCAAAGCGACATTTTGTTAAGCATCAAAATACGCAACATTGCCAAATTTCAACTACCTACCTATCTCTTACAGTTTCCAAGATCCCCATGGTAGCCTTTGAATTTGAATAAGTCTGTATAATAATAAATAAAACAGGTAACAAAGAAATTACCATTTTAAACAATCCTGCTATCTTTTGTTCGCCCTGGAAACCTACAATAAAAACATTTTAATGTCTAAAATGCAATATTGCAAATAATATTTAATATAAATATAATAAGTGATACAGCAAATTTTCGGAAATTTTACGCTCTTTTCAAAAACTCCAAAATATATAGGGTGGTCCATATGAAAAATATAGTTTAGGGTCGTATAAGGAAAACCAAACACCCTGTATAAAAACTGTATATCGCGATTGATTCTACATAAAAAAGTGCTGTAAGATGGATTTTGCCAAAATCTTTAATAATAAGAAAGTTATGGGGCATTAAGGAAATCGACTAAATTCGAGTAGCAAAACGATTAGTGTTAGCCGAATTTTGTTTGTGCCAGTGATTTTCTATTTAAAATTGCGGCCCAGACACCTAGATCCATTCTTTCCTCTCTCTTAAAATAAAGGGTGTTTCCATAAGAAAGTGTCCAATTTGGACTACCCTGTAAAGTACAGATTTTCCTATACAGGGTTGTGACTTGCGTAACGCATCATAGGGATTTCAATGTAAAATTCACAACATGCGATTATTGGCTCCCCAAATTATTTTAGAGTAAAAATGTATTAAGGTTTTCTGTAGGAAAAAAATTTTTACGTCAATCAACCGTATTAGTTTTCAATTTTTTTCATATAAAGACGGAAAATTGGAAAAATAAAACCCACACCTTTTTCAATAATCTGCGATGCCATGGAATTTTCTAAAACAAATAGATATCCAGTTATCAATTAGCAGAAGTTCGAAATGGATTTTATAATCGACTTGGTTACTGTCTTGCAGTTAATGGTGACTTATTCGAACATTTATTGTAAATTGTTATATTAGGAAACCGTTTTTAGTAATTTGGTCTTTCCTTATGTTGAATTCGCTGTTCTAATATAATACTTTTTGATGGAATTTGATTTGTTTTATAGCAGACATTCCATGGCATGAAGGATATTGGCGTAGTTTTTGTATTATAAAATTCCATGGCATCACAGATTATTGAAAAATATGGGGGTTTTATTTTCCAATTTTTCGTCTTTATTATGCAAAAAAAGAATACTAATACGGTTGATTGACGTAAAAAAATTTTTTCTACAAAAAACTTTAATACATTTTTGCTCTAAAATAATTTGGGGAGCCAATAATCGCATGTTATGAATTTTACATTGAAATCCCTATGATGCGTTACGCAAGTCACCACCCTGTATATTATTAGTTTCGAATGATTTTTAATTACTCAGACTCCATAATGTATGTAATCGCTTTCTAGTACGTTTTGCGCCAGCCAACCCTTGAAATGATTAGGAGTAAATTTTCGCGACGTTTATCGCCACACCGTCGATTCAATCTGCAATTTACAAACAAAGTAAATTGTTGTAGAAAATTACGAAATAAAATTGTCCTTTACTAAAATATTGAAACATCTTGTTATTGTTGCAGAGCTTTCCCGTTTGAAATTCAGAAGGGTACGTCAGGCGTGCGTTTTTAAATTGGTGAGTAAAATGTGTATCAATATTGACTTTCCTTTAGTGCTGCAGTTAAGTCTTACTAAAATATTTACAGACGAAAATGTATTTAATGAAATTCAGACGGCTAATATTGCCTCACATAAAGTGGATATATATTATTAAGTTTCCTTTTGGAGTTCATTTTAATTTTCAATTACTTTCAGTAAACGGGTTGCCCTCAATTTTTTCGTTGGTCGATGCCTGAGGGCGACCATATTTTTTCTCTCTTAATTTTCTTGGATTTCATTTTGACTTTAAAGCTCGCATAAATTAAATTACGTACATTAAAGGGTCACCTTTATAAGAAAAATGTAAAAAATGAGCTTTTGTCCATAATTCCTAATAAGTCCGTTAATTGTTTCATATACATACATAAAGCAAGGCTATTAAAAGTCCAACCGTTTGAAAAGCTCAGGGAAGTTTTGACAGTTTGTAGGGGCTTTGCAACCCTCAACAACCCTTAAACTCTTTAATTGAATTGCAACCACTGCACGACGTTTCTTTGAGAAGTGGATAAAGTTTTTAATTATTTTCAAACTGGAAAATGTATTTACGACAAATGGAATTCATTATTTTAAACAGCAATATAAAATGTTTGCTCTGTTATTGTTCCAAGTTCGCTCCGAGAGCCAAGCGTAATTATTAAAGTTTCAAATACGCCAAGGGAAGTTTTGTTGCAACAAAAATAATCCGGCTGGGTATATAGGTGGAAATTACGTACAAAAATCGCAGCTTAAATAGTAATAAATGCGTACTTTAGCTTATGCAAAACAAGTAAATGCTAATGCACGAGACACGCTTGTTTATCCTTTTTATCGCGCACATACACAAGTTGAGTTTTTTACGAAATGTTTGCATATCAAACACGCTTTTCTTTGCTCAACATCTATGTTTATTTCATATTGAAATTCAATTTCTAGAAAAAAAAAAGTTGAAGATGTTTTGTAAAATAAGATTTGATGTCCTCTTCTCCGTTTTCTGTAATCTTCGTTTTCCTTTGAACTGTTGCGACAGATAGAAAACGGAATATTAAAACAGACCAAAGTAAACTTTCTTCTCTAGCATGGGCGCTCTTAAGAATGATTTTGAATAGCAACAAGATCCGAAATAGTGCAAAGAAAAACAAGGGGGATGTAAAAAGTAATACGTTGAATATGTGATGTAGATGGCGGTGAGACAGGGATGCAAGTCATTATACAGAGTAAGAGTGACGAAGACAAAGCGGATCAATACGTCATTTGGGCTGTTTCCATGGTAGCACGTGCCTTTTCCCCCTGCCACGTACCCCAGCCCTTTCCACCCCCCTAACCCCCAGTTATATTAGTGCTATAGCAAGGGAAATGAATATTTTCTATTTAAGTTAGTTGTATATGCTCACCCTTAACATTCTTAATACTTGTACTAAACTCGGCCGCTTCTCTTCGCACGGCGTGTCTTCCATTCAGGATACGGGACAGGACATTCATTGGTCCGGCGATGTTATTATACTCCAATTTATGATTCTACCCGATTTATCTTAGTATCAATCGCAAAGTTTCCACTACTTTGGACTGTATTCAAATTTCGTCACGTAATCCTCCGGGAAAGTTGCGCTTGCTGTATTTTACATTGTATGTTTACGGTCAAATTGTACCTGCTATTGAGTTTATCAGAGGGAAAATGACGTTTATAATAAAGCTCTACGTCGAAACAGTCAACTGGAACGCTTGATCTGGGACAACGTGTGTTCCGTGTCAAGCTGAAAATGCAGTCCCTTTATAAAATTATACAGTTTCTGATTTGTGTAAATTTTTTGTGTGTGTATAGTGTATCCGAAACACAATATTTCGTTGTCCCGATTTTACAGAGAATTGCAGTTTGCATTGAACGTATTATACTTCGGATGAGTGTGAAAAGCAACATTTCCTCGAAATTCTACTCATTTTATCTTAAAATGGAACGAAGAGAGGGGCAGTGAAAAGTGTCGATAAAAATTAATTCCATTTTCGTCGGTAGTTTACAAATAATTACAAATGCATTAAAGATTCTGCAAACAAGGTGACCTATTTGCATAGCGCAAAAGTAGAAAAGTGTTTAAATTCTCCCCAAATTTTGGGACCCACAAGAACTCGCCCACTGAGAAATTTGCCCTAGCCTCCGAGGAATTCTGCTTGGGAATATTCGACCTTATTTTAGAGAAATGACCAAAGACAAGGCAAAATGTCGTTCACTAAAATATTGCTTCAAAGTGAGGGGCACCTAAATATGGCATTCAGTTCTAATTATATGAAAATTTGCCGCTCAGCTTTTTGGTCAATGACTGTCTTGTTTGTCATTCTTCTAATGTTTCTCTCCTCGTTCTGGCCAACAATCTTAAGGGTACATTGTTGGATATTACAAACAGATCTGTATAGAACACTGTGCGATATGCCCGCGCTACTCTCAGCGCCATATCCCTCTGCAGTTTGTCTAATTTGTTTTTAGTACAATTAAATTTTGTAGTCCTGCCCCATAGTTCACTCCTATACAGTACCACGTTGCATGAACTAATTACACTTCTATGCACGTTGTTAACGACCGATGCCAGAACCCTTTCTTTTGCTCTCCCGGGGGCCACCGCAAACTCCAGAATAACTTTTGTAGATTCGTTGATTTTTCTGCATTTTCTATTGCTTTTTTGGCATTTGGCACGATTCCTTTTTTGGTATTGGGGCTTTTCCATATTTCCATAGGGTATGTCCCAGTACTTTGTATGTTATCGAATACCTCTCGGAATACCTTAGCCGCCTCCTGACCCACTAGAGCCACTAATTTAGCCGGGAAACCATCTCGACCCGACGCTTTTCGTTTTGGCATTTTTTCTGCCACCTGGATAATTTCTTGGTTCTATGTCTTCTCTTATTTCTCTTCCGTACACACGCAAGTTTCTCAATTATCTCTTCACCGGCCACTCTCTCCCTACGACCAAGCTTCCCTGCTACTATCATTCACCCAAAGCCCCAAATTGTAAACCAATCACGTTCATTTATAACTCGAAATTTTAAAATTTGGACTTTCTAACTCGAGGAACTTATACCATGAACTCCCAACATTTTTAGTAATACCGGTTAAAAAATTTACTGTGACGTTTTTGTGATTTCGTTTCGTATCAACATTTTTATCTCTATGATAGTGCAAAACAATTATCTATTGATCATTGTAATTCTCATTTCGCCATTTAAAATAACATTATTCGAGATGGAATTAAATGACACCGTGTGCTTCCTTTCTCTGTTTGTTCCTATAAAGCACCGTACTATATCTCACTATAACCTGATGAGTGGGCCACGTAAAATTATCTAAGATAATAATAAATTTTGTTAATAATTTTGATTTTCATATTTAAAATTTTCAAGACAGAAAGAATTATCAAGTAGGAATTATTTTTAACCACAAGATAATGAATGAAAATGAATACCTTTTATTTCTTAGATAATTTTTTTTCGTCTACTTAAAATTATCTTAATGATAAAGTTTGAACAAACTGTTTAATAAGTGTAAGTTGAACAATTAAAATTGTCAATTTTCAATTATTTGTTGTTAATTTCAGATATCAACAACATAATATTATGTCTTACGCCATTTATTTATACCGTACCTCGATATACTTACTTAGATATATTATAGGAACGAAGAGAGAAAGAAAGAAAGCGCCCATTAATTTTATCTATGAGAATTTTAAATAGCCGAAATAGTCATATAAACTTGTAGCGGGTAATTTTAAATGGTGGAGTGGAATTGTCAAGATAAAATGAATTGCATAATTTTTTCATTAGGATAATTGAAATTTTCAGAAAATTTTACTTTATCAATTGTACTTGTATCATTGTGGAGTGAGTAGTTTTGTATTCTGCAACAGGTACGGTTCCGGTAGGCGAGGGAAGTTGGAAAGCAGGATCACTCAAACCTCATTCTGCTAGTGCTGCTAGCATCCTGCCTCGCCCTGCCTCATCCTGCTTCAAATTTCAGGCCAGCAGCACTATCCGTTCAAGACATACGAATTTTTGAAATTTTGTTGCTAACTTCCCTCTCAGCAACACTTTGGAAGCAGGATCCCTCAAACATTATTCTGCTTGTGCTGCTTTGTGTCCTCTGGAATAATCCGAAAATTATTTCTCCGTGAGATTGTACTGTCAGTTTAAAATATGGCGCAGGAATATGTAGGTATATAAACCACAAGTGGATAAGACTTAAACGATCTCGTTTACAATATGTTATTAAGAAAAAAGGTGGAAACAAAACACTTCTTTTCGGTCATCAAAATCATATATCTCCAAAGAATGGTCCCGATCCGATGGACTAAAAGGCTTTTTTGTCTTCAAAATTTTACACAATTTGTTATACTCTTCCGAATTACTTCAAGAAATTAAGCTTAAGGTACCATTTGTTAAGCTAAGGCAAAATAATACTATTTTTGCAGTTAACAACACAACTTCCCCACTTATTAAGATCTTGATCACTTTAAATAAGTTGTCCTTAGTTAATGATATCGACTTTTTTCACGATCCCCTAAATTCAATAATAAATAAAATTAGATCTTAAGTCCTAATATTTGTTCAGTGCCCCAGTGCCATGTAATTGGAATTTTTATTCTGTATGGTTTCTGGTTAAATAAATAAATAAATAAATAAAATGATACTGAGCAACATATGAGTAATTTGGTGCACTTCAAAGGTGTTTTTGAGAAGGCAAAATTTCAAAAATTCATATCTCTTGAATTGATGGTGCATTTTGGGAATAATTAGCTGCGGAATAACATTCCAGGAGCACATTTTTCAGTTGCAAATACTCCCAGCGAGTCTTTTGTGGCGAATTCACCTAGGTGAGTTTTCCGGGGCGAAAGCACCGAAACGCTGCAGGTCTAGGGCACCCCACCCACACCGTTTTGTAGTAGAAGGGCAACTAAAGTTATTAGCAATTATGGGCAATGATTTTGACTCTACGAAGATCTTGAAAAAGTTTGCTCA